TTTGTGTGTGTTTATATATATATATATATATATATATATATATATATATATATATATAAATTGTTTTTATATATTTTTGGTTTCATGTTATTTATTTATTTATTTTAGGAGAATAAGCTGAAGTTTGCAGCGTATCTGGAGAGTGAGTACAAAGTAAAGATAAATCCTGAGTCCATCTTTGACATCCAGGTCAAAAGAATCCATGAGTACAAGAGACAACTGCTCAACTGCCTTCATGTCATCACTTTATACAACAGTAAGAATTACACACAAAGGAACGTGTTCACACTGGGTTGATCAGTGCCTGTCAAGGACAGAGGATGTGACCAAAGATATTGCACTTTTATTAATATTGGTTTGTCTTTTACTGATGTAGGTTATTTTATTCAGTTAGATATATAGACAGGGATGCACATAAGTGGTGCGCATGAGCGACCGAAATAAAAAATGCACTGGGTAAATAAGTTCAGAACGCTCATTTGCGGACCGACATGGTTGACAGCTGTTAATGCATAATCACCGTTTTAGATCGATTAATACTGTAATACTTTATAAGATTTCTATTCGAACTGAACACATAAATCTAGGCTATGTGCTGCCGGTTTAACAGCAAAACTATGGCATTTCATTCACTGACGCGCTGCACTCGATAGTGCTAAAACCTGCAGTGCATATGTTTACTTGCCGGCAACCTGCCAAAATGAATGCTTGCTGATTTTAGGTTTGAAAATGTTGAAAATTCATATTTAAAAAAAGAAAATGTAAATATTGGCATTGTATTTTTAAGTGTACTATAAAATAACTATTTTTATTTAATACTTTAATACTTAAAAAAAATAAAATAAATATATATATATATATATATATATATATATATATAATATTATTAAACTTTATTTATTATTTTATTTAAAAACGAAATAAAGTGCAATAATACTATTATTACTGTTATTAATTATTTTATTTATTATAGTTATATTTAATGGGTCTCACTATATGCAGTGCAAGTACCAAACCAATCTCCAGGTTTTCTCATGAGAACCCGACTGAAAAACCCTGCACCCCTGTATTTAGATGTCTCTTCTATAGCTGCTTTTTTTGTAGCGTTGTATTAAAATATTTTTTGTTCATCAGAATTATGTAGGAGTTTCCTTTTTTAAATAACTAAAATTAATGAGTGATTAGTGAGTGATTTTATAAATGATTAATAATTTTTTTCATTCTGCACTTTCTAGGGATTAAGAAGGAACCAAACAAGAAGTTTGTTCCCAGGACAGTAATGATTGGAGGAAAGGTATGTGCATTCAGTTGAATTTAGTTAACTTTTTAAATTATTATTGTTAAAGGAACACTCCACTATTTTTGAAAATAGGCTCATTCGTGTACTAAGACCGACGGAAAATGAAAAGTTGTGATTTTCTAGGCCGATATGGCTAGGAACTATACTCTCAATCCAGCGTAATAATCAAGGAATTTTGCGGAATGAGAGTATAGTTCCTAGCCATATCGGCCTAGAAAATCACAACTTTTCATTTTCCGTCGGTCTTAGTACACGATGTAACTACAGAAGAGTCAAGTTTTAAATAGGAAAAATATCGAAACTCTTTGGTCATTTTTGAGCGAGATGCTAACGGTCCAATCAGATTCAATGATCTATGCTAAGCTACAGCTAAAAGTGCTACCGACAGACCCCGAGGTCGGCTGAATGGATTCGAAAACTGTAAAACTCAACTGTTTAACTCTAGGGGAGTTGGAAAATTAGCCTATTTTCAAAAATAGTAGAGTGTTCCTTTTAATATTATTATTATTATTATTATTATTATATAGATATGTAGATAATGGTCATAACTGCATTTGAAGTGTTTTAAAGCTGGGGTCCTCAAACCACTAGAGGGCCTCAGCAAACTTCTAAGGTGGCTACAGGTTGGCTTCAAATGATATGAAGTTATATATAATATAATAAAACAATCAAACTTAATTGAAAACAAGCTGCTTTTTCATATGATGGGCCTTCGAATCTTGTGCTGGACAGTGGAAGGCCTTCAGATCAAAAAGGTTGAGAACCACTGCTGAGAGTCCTAAAAGTTCTAAAAGGTATTTTTTGTGTTGTCCTGCACTGCCTCCTGCAGGCAGCACCAGGCTATCACATGGCAAAGATGATCATTAAACTGTTCACCTCAGTGGGGGAGGTGGTGAATCATGATCCTGTGGTGGGAGACAGACTCAAGGTCATTTTCCTGGAGAACTATAGAGTCTCTTTAGCTGAGAAGGGTGAGTAAACATAAACAACTGTTAATGTTTAGCCAAAAAATATCAAATATCTGATCAGGTTTATTAAGTTTTTTTCAAGATAACATGAAATAATTGAACTAATAATTATTTAGCTATAGTTGGGTATTTTTTGTAATGTAATGGACTATGCAGATAGTATTTGACTGAATGTGTCATATGCGCTGTTCTTCAGTGATCCCTGCTGCCGATCTGTCCGAACAAATCTCCACGGCAGGTACAGAAGCCTCTGGTACAGGAAACATGAAGTTCATGCTTAATGGTGCTCTGACCATCGGCACCATGGATGGCGCTAATGTGGAGATGGCAGAAGAAGCTGGAGAGGAACACCTGTTCATCTTTGGCATGAGGGTCGAGGATGTGGAGGCCATGGACAAAGCGGGGTGAGAGAGTGAATGGATATAAATGGGATAAGACAGAAAAAAGGGAGCTATAGGCTAGAGCAGTGTTTCTCAACTGGTGGGTCACGAGTGTCGTGGAGTGTGCAGTCAAAGAAACCTCAACAACAAAAAACGTAATTGTAAATGTTTTTCTGATGTAAGAGAAGAGCGAGAAAGCGGTTGACACTTCTGTCAGATGCAGTTGAAGTAAAGAGTGCCTGAGAAAAATCGCGCTGTCCTGATTCAGTATCTGCGGTCAGATGAGATGTTGTCAGGTTTAATGTCAGTGTCATTATTCTATAGTTATTTTCATAACTTGTTACGAAATAAAAAGTCTCTCACCTCAGAAAAACAAACTATTCTGTCCTGTCAGACGTTATACTGTGCTCGTAGCGCACACTCTTCAATTTCACATACAAATGTTGCGGCTCACACTGTATTTAAGTTCACTAAAGTGCAAAAGAAACTACGAGCATGCAAAGTGTGAAATAAAAGTAAAGTAGCAATAAATCACATAACTGGTACTTTGTGTGTTAGCTGGGAAGGATTTGCATGAAGTATTCACCATGGTAACAATTTTCCATAACCCAAAAATGCCATCTTATTTTCACTTTGTGTTATTTTTTTATGTTTAAATGACTCTGGTGGCTCATACCAACTTAATTGTATTAACACAATCTAGTTTAGGACTGCTATTTAATAGCATTAACATATAGGCTGTTTATTCATCAGTATTAGTCATATTCTTACATTTTGTGTTTAAATAAAGGGGGGTGGGCGATACTTGTATGTGTGTCAACAAATATATATAATATATCTCCTAAAAAAGTGGGTTGCAGCTTGATGGCCATGGGAAAATGTGTGTCCCATGGCCAAACCAATTGGAAACCACTGGGCTAGAGAAGTGATGTAATCAAACAAATAAGCAAAAACAGAGATATAAATCGCTGGTTGTGAAATTTTGGATTTATTTTATATTGTCTTTGTGAGAACATTCTAAACTAGCTAATGTTTTTTTTTTTTGTTATGTGCTTTTGGCATTTTTGTTATTTTTATTTTGTAACATTTCAAATTTTTTTCTTCTATATAACTTATATCTATTTTATTTCAGCCAAAAAAAATGGTTTTAGTTTTAGTCTACAATAACAAAACTGTATGTGATGCAGATACAATGCCAGTGAATACTACGAGCGTCTGCCTGAACTGAAGCAGGTGATCGATCAGATCAGCGCTGGATTCTTCAGCCCCAAAGAGCCTGAACTCTTTAAAGACATCGTCAACATGCTCATGAATCATGACAGGTGGGTGCCAAAGAGTTCAAGTTGTCTGTCTGTATGCAACCTGTTTCCCTTCCTTTTAAAAAAAAGTTTGAATTTTCTTGTGTGGCTTATACAGTTATATCTAATTTTTGTATATACAGGTGCATCTCAATAAATTAGAATGTCGTGGAAAAGTTCATTTATTTCAGTAATTCAACTCAAATTGTGAAACTCGTGTATTAAATAAATTCATTGCACACAGACTGAAGTAGTATAAGTCTTTGGTTCTTTTAATTGTGATGATTTTGGCTCACATTTAACAAAAACCCACCAATTCACTATCTCAACAAATTAGAATATGGTGACATACCAATCAGCTAATCAACTCAAAACACCTGCAAAGGTTTCCTGAGCCTTCAAAATGGTCTCTCAGTTTGGTTCACTTGGCTACACAATCATGGGGAAGACTGCTGATCTGACAGTTGTCTAGAAGACAATCATTGACACTCTTCACAAGGAGGGTAAGCTACAAACATTCATTGCCAAAGAAGCTGGCTGTTCACAGAGTGCTGTATCCAAGCATGTTA